CATGAGGTATCTTGAGGATCACCAGCTGATTAGTGACCGCCAGTACGGTTTTCGTCGAGGTCGATCAGCTGGTGATCTTCTAGTCTTCTGACTCATAGATGGGCGGAGGCAGTAGAGTCCAAGGGGAAGGCATTGGCCGTTAGTTTGGACATAGCGAAGGCCTTCGATCGGGTCTGGCACAAAGCGCTTCTTTCGAAGCTTCCTTCCTATGGGCTTCCCGAGAAATTGTGCAAATGGATCACCAGTTTCCTTGCTGATCGGAGCATCAAGGTCGTAGTAGACGGTGCATGCTCTGATTTCAAGCCTATCAACGCTGGTGTTCCACAAGGCTGCGTGTTATCACCAACGCTGTTTCTCCTGCATATCAATGATATATTGCTAACTGGTACCATTCATTGCTATGCAGACGACAGCACTGGCGATGCCTTATATACCGGCCGTGCCAATATTTCTCGGGAAAACGTCGCTGAGTACCGGGATAAACTTGTGTCTGAAGTCGAGTCTTTGCTTAACAAAGTCTCGGATTGGGGCCGACTAAATCTAGGCCAGTTCAATCCCCAGAAGACACAAGTTTGCGCGTTTACCGCTAAAAAGAACCCCTTTGTCATATCTCCTCAGTTTCAAGGCACTCCCCTTGCTGCCTCAGCTAGTATCGGAATCCTTGGCGTCGACATATCGAATAGTGTGCAGTTTCGTGGTCACTTGGAAGGAAAGGCCAAATTGGCCTCTAAAAAGCTTGGCGTGCTCAGCAGACCGAGACAGTGTTTCATGCCGGCACATCGCTTGCAATTTTACAAAGCGCAAGTTCGGCCCCACATGGAATACTGTTCTCATCTCTGGGCCGGGGCACCCCAGTGCCAGCTCCTTCCACTTGACCGCATCCAGCGCAGAGCGGTTCGAATCGTCGACGACCGAGTTCTTTCTGATCGGCTCGATACACTGGCACTGCGTAGAGATGTTGCATCTCTTTACGTATTTTATCGCATCTATCACGGGGAGTGCTCTGAGGAATTGTTCGGACTAATTCCAGCCGCTCAATTTCACCATCGCACATCGCGACAAAACTCGCGTTACCATCCATACCATCTGGATGATTGGCGGTCCACCACTGTGCGATTTAGAAGAAGTTTTCACCCTCGCACAACTTCCTTGTTGAATCAATTACCACCAGCGAATTTTCCGGACCGATACGACTTAGGAACTTTCAAGAAAAGAGCAACGCATCTGCAATTCCCCTGGTGTTGCGGTTGTTCATGGGCGGCTGTAGTCACTTACCATCAGGTGAGCCACATGCTCGTTTTCCGCCGAGTTGTAAGTAGAAAGCCAAATAGGTCATGTATCAATTTTAATTAAATATATTTTATATGAAGTGATCTTGACTACGTTTCATTAATTAACCATTGGTAAAAATTAAAACAGGAATGTTACAATTGTGTTTACAAGAAACATTATTAGTTGAACCTTGCAGCTTGTTCATTATTTTTATTATAAATACCTATAAATGTATATATTATTAATAAATAGTTCCCATAATATTTTGGATTATTTTTTATTTTGCTCTATCTGCAATGTTCTGCTCCCTATAGAAAATGTGGCGTATGACATGACTGACAATCTTTCGAACGTTTTATCTAGGTAGAAAGATGTTTTACGTTTTCGTCGCCTCCACATGATATTTTTGTTACCATAAGGTTGTATCTGAAATGAATATAAATATTGCTACAAAGTAAAGTAAAAGGCTATAACAAGTCCCTCTACTGGGCACAGGACTCTTTTTTTTTATTTCTGAGAGGGTTTTAGGGCTAGGAAATTGGGCCGCGCTGCCCCAATGCGTGTTGACGAAAATTGCAATTACAAATTGCATTCGTGCTGTCGGGGATCAAACCCGGGAAAAATTTACAGCGAACGTTTTGAGCCAGATCTACCAATACGATACAAATAAATACGATTTAACATATATAATAAAAAACTCTTACGTACTTGAAACTTGAACACTTGATAGCTCGTGACGCTTACCGGACAAAGCTACAGCACAATGTAATTGAAGATGCGTAACCGCGACATAATTCTCAGTGATGCACAAGCATAACAGGCAGTATGTCACTTTTATAATTGCCATCTCTGCAGTCTATTTATCTTTGCACTTTTATAAGTAATACGGAACGTAGTTGCTAGACGGTGTTGACGTTGGGTAAAATCTAAAGCCGTTTCCTCAAGGTCATTCAGGCTAGTTAAAGCCTTAAGAGAAAACGATATTGATTCTTTGGAGTTGGTAACAATTTACAATTTTAATACCAGAATAAATTACAAACATATAATTAAAAACACAAAATTTATCACTTTCTTCATATTTATTGCTTACTGCTAATTTCTAGAAGCAAAATTATATAAATTAAAGACATAGTTACCATTACAGCCTATTAAAATCCATTGCTGAACATAGGCCTCACCCATAGATTGTCTCATAGGGGAGGATATTTGCCATAGCTGCTACACTTGGCAAGCAGGTTGGCAACAACAGTTTTTTTATTTATAGTAGTTATTTGGAAGACTCTGCTGCCCATCTCCTGATTTGTTTCCCTCTGCCAACTCTTACAATATCCACAGAATGATATGGAGCAGTGCATATTCTTATACCACCACTACACAATTTTTAAGTACAACTCCTAAAAGGAAATAGAGTAGGTTTTTATTTGTGAAATAAAACAATTATTAATATTCTACCTAATTATTAATATTCTAAATGTCATTATTGCTATAATGTGCAATGTGTGCTAAACACTGACCTCTATATTATATACAAATACGCTGGACTAGCTATACCATACAAAATGCTTATGCCGATTTGAAGCGCCTTATTTTTCGTACCGGAAACTAAAATTGACATAATATAATATGCCAGTCTGTTGTCTTATTTAAATCGTATATCTGTATTTTGAAATTTTAAACTATAAAATGAAAGTATTTTATGTGGTTTAATTATGTTGATTTTAGTTATATAATAAGAATTATATTTAGTAATAAGGTGTGCGTATTATGTAAAACTCGTTACCAAAAGGAAAGTGAGATGACATTCCACAAGTAAGTAAATTTACAGCTAATATTAAACAAAGTAAAACTATTTGATAACATAAGTACTTTAAAATTTGTTATTTATCTTAATATCGTAATTACCAACATGGTTTATATCAGGACTTCCCAGGGCCGTCGTGAGGCGTCTACAGATTGGCTGTGTCGATGCAACCGAGTCGAATGAGCGCCGCGCTCATTTTAATTCTGTTCTGACGATCTCGGGCGGCCAGCCAGCGCTGGCGTTGACCTCCCTCCGTGTATTTCCCTTTCCCCCGCGTATACGTATCGTTTCAGTCAGTCAAGCTTTTGTTTTAATTACGCACGCGAAGTTTCAATATTGACTATGGATAATTTTATTCAAAGAAATAGAAAACGAAGTGAAGACTCAGGAGAAAGCGGTAAAGAAACTTCAGAAAAACGGAAGAAGTATAGAAAATATAACGACCAATATTTGGGTTTCCGATTTATCTACATTACTAAAGGGAATGTAGAACTTCCTCAATGTGTTGTTTCTGATAAGTGATGGCAGCTGAAAGTATGCTTCCTAATAAACTAAAACGTCATTTGGAAACAACTCACAGTAATTTACAAGGTAAGCCGAGAGACTTTTTTGTTAGAAAATTGCGAGAACTGAAACATCAGTCCACGGCTTTGCTTTCAAGAGCATCAGTTCCTACCAAAGCATTGCTTGCCTCCTACAAGGTAGCTCACAGTGTGCCAAATGTAAGAAGCCACATACAATTGCCGAGGAACTGATTTTACCTGCAGCGGTTGATATGGTATCGGTGATGATTGGAGAATCGGCGGCTAAAGAAATAAAATTGTGCAGGTGCATTTTGTCACACTGTCTTATCTCTATTATTAGTTACGTCAGCGCCAAAATGGAACCAAATCGCCTCATTATGTCACGGTGTATAGCTAGTCCATATACAGAGGTTAGTGGTGCTCAATAAACTTATTTTACTTTCTTTCCTTTCTCTGATTTTCAAAATTATCGACACCACAATTCCTGAGACAAATCATTTATCTTTTAGTGTGCAAGTAGAGTTGAATAGATTGGTTTTATGTATATACAGACATTATAAACTTTGAGTTTATAACAAATTGAGACCAACAAAAAAGTTTTAGCTACAGCCAAAGCATAGTTTAACTGAGGTTCAGAATACTCCTTAATGAATTTGATATGTGGTAGGGCCATGCTGCATCTTTTTTTTTTTTTATAGGATAAGGGTGACAAACGAGCACACAGTCCACCTGATGGTAAGTGGTTGCTGCGGCCCATAGACATCTACATCTATCCTCTGTTACAAATCAAAATGTAGATGCGATGTCACCCGTGAGGACTAAGATCTATATTATATTATAGCATCTATATTAGTAGTATAATTGTAGCACGAATGTGTCGGCTTGACCGGGGAAGGACCACGCTATCACAGAATACCAGCGTAAAATGGCAGCTTGACATTGCTGTTTCGTATGGTGAGTGTAGAGAACCGGACACCCTTTTTACTGGAAAAGAGGCATTTCATCTTAGTCCTCACGGGTGACGACGCATCTGCATTTTGATTCTTTATTGAGGATAAATGTAGATGTCTGTGTCAACAGCAACCACTTACCATCAGGTGGACTGTGCTCGTTTGTACCTATCCTATTAAAAAATAATAATAATAAAAATGCTCCAGAACAGCACATTAGAAGAAATTATAATAGCAGTTACTAAAACTACTAAGCTGAACTTCTGAAAATAGTTTCTGTTTAAATCATATATGTATAAAATAAATAAATAATAAATGCCCGTGCAAGTACGTTGTCCTCCGCGAATGCTGGCTTATATGAATGAATGAAATGAAATGAATGTATTACACGTTAACATTGGCATGGACACAATGGGTAGGAGCGTAGGAGCAGAAGCTAGCTGATTGCGGTACCTGTGGGTAACGGTGCGTGCGCGCCGGGTAGCTGCCGCCGCCCCACTGGCCGACCACGACGCCGGCGATCTCCAGCCGCGCGCCGGCGCCGCGGCCGCGCCCGCGCGCCCAGCCCAGCTGCCCGCCCAGCTGCCCGCCCAGCGGACCGCCCACCACGCCCGCCACGAGCGGCAGCGGTGGCATCGCGAACTCCACCTCTAGACCCTCCAGTATAGCTTTGCGCATTCTCTCCACCTGTCACATAAACGTACTACGTAACCTAACATAATATGTACTATACGTGTGACGACATAACATTTTAACAAATTTTTTTGGACTTTCAAGCATCACCCAAAGGATAAGAGCAGCCAAATTAATTTTTGTTTTTGTAGGGTGTAGTGCGGATGTTTAGTGTAAGCAAAATCAACCTATAAGCAATCGCAGATTAACAAAATATTGCCCATTTATTGGTGACTTTAAAAAAGAAGGCTTTTAATTTTACTCAAATCATATTTATATTACTTGATATCATTGTCGATTGTGAACCGATTTTATTGTGTCTATTTTTATCAAATAGGTTATATTTGTTTAAGTCCCATATAAATTAAGGGCAAAAACTCCAATCTTAAGAGTGGAAAAATAAGGGATAACATTTTTTAATCATTTAGACAATATTCTAGTTGTTACCTTCAGCTTGGGATATAATATCCTCCAGACTGACCAGTTTTTGGCCAGTCTCAAGGAGAATAACCATCTGTACAGGATGGGATGCAGCCAGCAGGAATAAAATAGGACAAGTGCACGAGTGTGCAAGCACATGTACACTCACATAGTCCGATTGGATGGTAATCTGACACGACCGGAGAAAAATCGGATACAGGACCAAAAGTATAACCTGCTTTTCAAGAGGGCAGTAGCACGGGCAACTATTGAATAACTGATTTTGGTCTGACACAAGATTCTTAAACAGTAACACACGAAAACTAGTCGCACATTTGATCTTGTGATATTTCATAGTCTAGTCAAGAGGGTCAAAAATTAAACTTTTAAGAAAAGTAAAAGCAGACTTCAAAGAACTACAAAGCATAAAACAATTTTTACATAATAGCTTTTGAAGTCAGTGTAAAGACATAGTATATAGATAGAAAAATGAAAGCCCCAATTGCAGAAGCTCATTATGAAAGTTTATTATTTTTTTATTTTTAGTATTTATAATTCTACCACAGCTTTGAAAAAATAAGCTGGTTAAAGCACCCTAAAATTAGTTACTGGAGGAGCTTTCTTATTAGAGATTATCTTACTAGAATAGTCATTCAAAAAATTTGACTTGGAATTATTTATTGGCCACCTATTAGTCCGTAAGAAAGGTGCATCATGTACCATGACTTTTTTATTTAAAAAAATGGAAAAAGGAGAAGAGATATGATATATCCTATAGCAAACTATTTTCATAGTGTTTCGATATAGGTTTTAATACGTCTGCTTTTTTTATAGCAGGAAGATAAATAAAATTCTAGCATTCTCTTACTATCTGGGTGACACAGTCCACCTTATAGTAAATGGATGCTGTAGCAATAAGACATCTGAGTCTTTAATTATGTATTAACATGTGGATTCGTTGTTACCCTTGAGGATGTCCAGTTTATGTTTGTGAAAACAAACATTAACAGTTTAAGCTATGGTACTTATATTGTGGTTTTGGCGCAAATGGGTCATCTCAATGGGAAAAGAACCACTTGCTCTAACCGAATATCAGTTTAATGCTGCTGTATTTCGTATGGTGAGGGTCTCTATCCACTTTGGTAAGTAGTACGCTTCAGTGTGTGTTCTTCTGGTTTTTATATTTTTCTTTAAACATTTTGTGTTCAGGCTATGAATTGGTTCACTAACTGGAAACCCTTTTTACTGGATACGAAGCATCTTAGCCTTCAAGGGCTACAACGCATGTGCATTTTTTTAATCATAGATATGTGAATGTCCATAGGCCTCAGCATCCACTTACCATCCAGTTGGGCCGTGTGCTCGGTTATCACCGTTATTCCATAAAAAGGAAATAAAAATGCATGTGTGAGTGACCTTGACGACGGTGTCGAGGTGGTTGTCGCAGAGCTGCGCGAGGTGCTTGCAGTGCGCGGCGCGGTGCAGGTTGCGCTGCAGCAGCTTGCCGTCGAAGTAGAGCCAGGGCGCGGCCACCAGCCAGGGCACGGGCGCGCCGCACGCGTCGTTGGCCAGCAGCGCCGCCTCCGCGCCCGCCATCACCAGCGCGCCCAGCTGCACGCCGCGCGCGCTCATGCCGTTCACCTGCCGCCAACCACCGCATGACCCTTTGCTGTGCACTTCCCACTCACTGAGCTCAACTGTTTCTTTACACAATGTTAATCGACACATTCAGAAGTTAGTTTTGAACATAACTTTATCATATTATATTAAAAAACATTGCCTTAGTGCTTTTTGCTTTTAATTTTTTAAACACATTTTTAACTTTTTAATTTTTCGGCTTAGAATATCCATAGTGTTTAATCACTTATAATCTAAATAATATCAAATATAAAAAAATATTACAGAAAGAAACATTAACCCTTACATTTTCTCAACAAATTTACTTCCCCACTATGAAATCTGTCACACATTTCACCTCATTCGAATGTGGCGCTTCCCTAGTGGCAGAAAGTCTTGAATCTCATTAAGGCCAGGTTAAACAAAATATAGTATTTTAAACATTTTGACTCCCGAGAATTGATTATTATTATGTTTTTCTATCAACAGTTTGAAATATCCTAATTTAATCTTATATTCAGCTTATTAAATATGTTTAGTGAAAATATTTCATATTATTAATAATTATAACGTATAATTTTTATGCTAATTACTCAATTTATTTTTTGCAACACTTATAAACAGAAACAGAAACTTTTTTATTCATAAAGTCACTCTTTTGTTTAACTACCACTGGTTCGAAAACCTCTGTCCTGGAAAGAACCAGCAAGAAACCCAGTGGAACTTTTTTTTAAAAGAACAGCTTACAATCATGTATGTTACACAATTAACAACACTACAAATTAGAAATAGTTTGGTAGCGATCACCTCATTTCCAGGGGTTACTATCATCCATAAATTCCTTAATATTATAATAACTCTTTTTATACAAACTTAGTTTAATAAAGTTTTTGGACTTTGAGCAGGTCAAATTTTGTATATTTAAAAGTGATAAATTGACCTGAGATAAGTACCATTTGTCGTCTTTTATTTCTTCTATGCACATTATTAGAATATACGCTCTTAATTGAATGAATTTATAAAAATGTACTTCATATCAATTAAGTAAAAAAAATATTATAATTTAACTGTAGGTAAAAGCTTTGAAGTTCCAGATCTCGTTTTTTAAAACGATAATCATAATTTTTCGATGATATGATAGGCATGTTATTGAATTAGATTCTTAATAGGATACATTTTTATTTAGATTCTTACTTTCATAGTATGCAAACATTTTTCAAATAAAATAATTTTATATGCACCAAATGTCATGCTTACTTTGTGCTGGACAAATATGTTTGCAACAGTGAAGGGAACACTAAAAGCCTTTTAAAATCGGTAATTCTCACCGTAAGCAATTTTTTTTTCTCTAAACAAGTGAATGCTGTGGCTCACAGCCACCTACATTCAAGAAGAATTCAATTTATCATGCGAGAACATCTTAAGTAGAGAGAAGATAAAACAGGACACTATAAGAAAAGAGTCGGTTCAATTACATTCATCGAGCATAGAGCTCAGAAGCTGGGCGCTTGCTATAAATAACACACAAGTAACTAGGGGCTGCTGTAGTTTAAAATAGACCGGTGGATTATGATTCACTAGTTGTATGAACAACTATATTTGCTTAAATAAAATTTGTATAAAGTAGATTATGAAAAAAAATGCAAATGAATAAGGAACCCTTATAAAATACAAAATTTAAATATTAATACTTACAGTCATCTCTTGCAAATGAAGAGCATTCATGAGATCATTAGAGAAAGCTGTTGCCAAAAATGCATCCAATTCTTGTCGCCGCAGAATTTGAATCTGAGATGTCATGATGAACCTAATAATGCAAGCATATTATATAAATTTTTACCTTTTGCATAAATTTGTTTACTTTTTCTGTACAGATGGTAGAAAAAATATTCTTACCTTAATACTGTAGCTAAAATCAACAAATGTTGTGGAACGTAGGATGTATTCAACATTAATGGAGTGTCAGAACGCATGCACGAAAGAAAAGCGCGCATCCGTCGACACTTATCATCTTGTGCCGTTCTGTAGACAAAGAAAATAACAATAAAGAAACTGTCCTGTTTGTCATAAAAAATTCCATGCTTTGTGTCAGAAAGTCATTAAATTATCTGAAACTAAGATATTTACAAGGAGTAATTAGCTCACGTAACTTTTTATAAATGTAAAAATGAGGTTCTAACAGCTACTTTTGTTAAATGACCCTTAAAAAAAGCTCACCCGAACCAGAGCCTTTGCACTGTGGGTACGGGCCAGTCCAAAACTATTCCAGGTACCAATTCTGGGCTCTTTCCAGGATTTACACGTGAGTAAATCCATTCAGCAACTTGAACTGTGCATGGCTTTTCATTGGCTGAAGGAACACTTGTGCCTTCCTCTAAAAGAAAGAATATGAATGTTAACTAGATCTTAAAAATTCAGTAATTTTCTAAAATATGACGAAACTATTCCAAAATCATTAAAAATTTCATAAAAAGTACCTCTTTTGTAAATAGCAATAAGAAAATAATTTCACCTCACAAAAATTACACCATGAATTCATAACACCAAAACATTTTTTCTTTGCTAACTCACCTTTAGCTTTTTGTGCCATAAAGCGATGATGATGCATGTTGTACAAAATAGCATAAACATTTTGTCTAATGGGTCTGAAGAAATGATGTATGGATGGTATTTCGCGGTGGTTATCATCTTCCATAAGAACATGCAGAGTTACTTGGCGGTGTGTAAGAATGGAAAGCATTTGTGGGTGCATGAGACCGCGTGCATGTCGCTCGGCGCATGTTCGTAATACTTCAGCCGGGGCCGGTGGACAATTATCTTCACTCTGAGCCACTTTACCCCCACTTTGTACTCCCTGGAACACCAATTTCAAAAACAATTAATTTATTATAATAATAAATTGACGACGGCATTGCTTGGAGCTCAGAGTTTGAAGTCCATTCTTCTTTTATAAAACTGAACTAACAAACAAACTATATGTCCACCTGATGGTAAATGATTAAAAAAAAGGCTCTCTCTGAAGACTAAGATAGAATGCCTCACAGCCTGTAACTATACTGACTCTCTATAGCCTTAAAAAGGTACACTCATGGTTATATATAACAGTACAATAAGTATAACAAGGGGCCCCCTAGTACCTAAAAAAAGTATCTAAAGATTCAAGGCAATGATCAAGTAACAGTAAAGTTATAGTTTATATATGTCCCACATCTGGACAAAGAGATCCTTTCATTTCTGAGGGTTTAGATTTACAATTAGACAAATTATAAGTTTTAAATGTAAGCAAATTATTTTCCTAGGTTTTATTTTGTCTAACCCAATACTTCTCTCTTCCAGGTGGTATATTGGTCGTGGGTAGATTTGGATGAGGGAGTGACTGCGTTGGCTTGAAGTGTGTAGGCACTATAATATGCCCTGTGCTGTTGATAGCTTTCAACAGCATTCATATTCAAAATTTTGAGTGTCCCATATGAGCTCTCAAAAATATTTTTTACTGTTCATTTCCCATTGTTAAGCTCCTCTTACACAGAACGAAATTTATCAGATCATAATTTTGATTATCTAAAAATTGAAAACGTAAGTTTTAATCCAATTTCATTAAAGAGGAAAAAACGCTATGTTGATTAGCAATACTACAACATTATAGGGGTAAGTGCACTCTGGAAAAAAAAATGTTGGCTCTCAACTATTTCAGTGCATGCAAGTGCTAAGAATCTAATGAGGTTGTTCTCATTATGAATTTTAGGGTAAATCAATCACTCCTATGTCCTCCCGTGGGTGTAGCAAGAAGCGCATATGGGTAAACGCGGGCGAAATCTTATGGGTTCCAATATAGGATGGTATAACCAACTCGTTAAATCCGCGATACGAGCGAGCGAATTTCAGCATGTATGTATCGAATGTTGTCTATGTTGTCTACGCGGTTCTAAAAGCAAGTCAGAAGTCAATACCACACACGGTACATACATGATTTTTGAACGATTTAGATATTGGATTATTCAAGTATGTTAATGTGCATAAGTTATTAACTATGGATATTTAGAAATCGAAGTGCCATGTGTATGTACAATGATTAGTAGATTAATGAGTGTGTATATTTTAAGACAGATTCACTTAAATCTCGCGTTCTATCGCCCGCTCATGGTCCGTTCATAATTCGAATCAATGTATCATGGATATTATACGTTATTATTACTTCAAGTTTGATATTAGATTTTCTATGCAATGTGGATGACTCACGCTAACACACGACAATATTGCACTGCAGTGATAATTTAAAGTTAGCGTCAACCGATATATAGATATTGTATATTGTACAAATATATGATACTGTATCTATACTTATCGTATCGCCCACTCCCAGGTAGAACTGTTAAAGGCGCGAGATAGCAATCATCAATCTGACAGTCAAAAATGACAATAAAGACAAAGAGTTCTTACAACGGTGTGAGGCACGATAAAGAATAGAAGGTGAAACAAGCATATTTTATGTAAAATTATGCTAGATTTGAAGTATATATATATGTTTGCCGAATACAATAAGCTTAGTGTTCACTTTTGGAGATAAAAGCCCTGTAGAAAACACACACATCAAATAGGTTGTTATATGCTGCTAACCATATATAAGTAACTAAACTAACTAATAGTCGAAACTTATAACCATAAGCAGAAATATGTAATAATATGGGTGACAAAATCACACCTCCTTGGATGTAGTAGGTTCTTTTTCATTTCTTTCACCAACTTTAGCTGCTTGTTGTTGAGCCGGAACTCCATCACCGGTTTCAAGTGACATCGATGCAATAGCATGGCTCATATCATTGGTGCCCTCTTCCATGCCAAAGTCAGCATGAATTGAAGCATTTGCAGTTGCCAGTTTGTAATCTTCCAAGCCTTTTTGCTGTAATTTATAATTTGAATTTCTAATGTTTCAACCAATCAAGTGCTTAGATATGTAAATTAATAAAACAAAAGAAAACAAAAACACAATCATTTGATGGGCTAAAATAGATGTTTCTTCTCATATTTTTTTCGTTTGATATTTTTTGAAAACTTATTTTAATGATATAAGCAAAATGAAAATGCAAAAGTTTATAATTTTGATAATTTAAACTACACACATTAGTTATTTATATCATTATAATATTGTTTAAAGGAATGGGGGGGAAATTCAAACATTAATAAAACAAATAATATTAACTAATGAAGAGCACTTGGCTAAAACAATTTTTTTTATATTTTTCCTATGGATCATGCATATATGTATGCTTTGCCAATAAATGCCAATGATTTCTTAATGATGTAAAAGGCGTGGATGACCAGAGTAGCAATGATTATATATAGATTGTACTTGTAATAGTAATAAATGTAATATAAACCTCATGTTCAGATGATTCAGTTGCCAGCTTAGATGTATCCAAATCAGCAGAAGTTGACTGAGGGCTCATTTCTTGTTTCTGATTTTTTTTGTTGGTTTTTGGGCGACGACCTATAATTTAAATAGTGAAAAAAAAAACCATGTCGTACAGAATGACATTATTATGCATAAAATTTGTATGCATTGCTCACCAGACGCTGTCCTATATTTTAAGAAACCATCTTTAGTTCCATTAAGATAATACTGCACAGCTTGCTTCAATTTAGCAGCGCGAAGATCATTCATATCACCAAATATTTCAATACAAGCAGCATCAACATCAGCTGAAGGCAAGTCGCGGACAAATTGAGAAATGGTTTTAATGAGGATTTCTGGTGGGACCTGTTGCTGTAAGCAAATTTTATTTATTTAAATTACATTATATGTGTGAGTATAAATATAATATGAACACGAATAGGAGCATGAAAGGTGCCTGCCAAGCCAAGCATTGCAATTAAGGTTAATTTCCATCGAGTTCCTGCATCTCTTACTACGACATCACTTAATCTAAAGAGGGCCTCCCACCAAAACTTTGCTTACTCATACAAATTTCACTTGAGAACATTTTCACTCGAGAACCTTAAGTATATTCAACATATTATATTTTATCTTATATTATTTACCATTTTTATATAGCCCAACCAGAGGAGACTAAATACCAAAAAAAATTATAGCTATTCATTTCTGCCTAGAGGTGTATTAAGAAATAAATATCTAACTAAATAAATATATACAATATGAATTCCTCACAGCAATCAACTTACAAATTAATATGAGAGTACAAAGATTTGCTTTTTCACATATGGGCACAGAATAATTAATAGTACTAAGTACAGAAGTTGCACTCCTTTGATGTTGACTAGTACTTTGCCTATGTTATAGTTGCCTACATAATTATTTTTAATTAGATAAATTAAACTAAATTAACTTTTATCGCTCCGCACTAGTGTCTGTATAGCTTTGCATCTTTTCCCCTTCCTACAGTACGGCCGATATTGCGTGGTTACCCAGGGTATATAGTTTTTTGATTATTTCTTGACCTTTTGATTTTGATTTTTATTTACAACTGTTATATTTTAATATAATGTCATATTTTTTTGTCTCTGAAATAATGGTTATTAAGATTATCCAAACTATTTCTAAAATAAATTTTGTACCAACCATTAATGTAAAATATGCTTTTTTTTTCAAAAATCCCACTGAGTTTCTTGCTGGTTCTTCCCAGGACAGAGGTTTTTTTCGAACCAGTGGTAAAGTAAAAATGACTATCAATAAGAATTACACATGTAATCTATATTGAATAAAAAAAATATTCTATTCTATTCTATTCTAAGAAAAGTTTTAATCTGACGTATAATTTTAAGTAAATACCGTTAGGGAAAACATTGACAAGGAGTGATAAAATTAATTTTCGTTAATAATTTTAGTAAATTATTTGAGGGTTTTTTCATAATTATGTTTTCACAATTGTTGATGGTATTTACGATAATAATCATATAAATATACTTATAAATTACACTGAAACTTATACAATTATTTTACCCTTTATCTAAATATACTAAACAATAAACAAAAATATTTATACAAGTGTATACAAAAAATCTATTTAGGTAAACAGTGTTAAAAAAACTTTGAAATTCGCTACTACGTCGCTCGCTTAAAACGCGCTAGCCCTAACTACGTACGCAACCTGAAGTTACGCGCGGTAGTGTAGGTACTTATATCACGCAGTTAGCAAGAGTGACAGAGGGCTGATATAGGCTTTAATTACTGCCTTGTTGACAGTCCCAGTACAGTGGACCCCTGGTAATCCGGCCCCTGTCTAATCCGGCACCCCTCGTAATTCGTCATGGTCTATTATTTATTATTAGATATTTTTTGACCACAAAAGAAATGATGAATATTTTCATGCTTCTTAAATTGATTGATTCATAATTTTTGATTATTTTAGTATGTACATTTGTTTGTACACAATTATTTCCTAATGTAAAGTTATTGCATATTTTTTGGAAGTTCTATAGCATTATTGACGTTAATTTTAGAATATAATGTAAGCTCCCTATTGTGTTGTTTAATTTACTAAATTTGACATACATAATGAAGTATAATTTGTACTTCAGAGTACATATATTATATATATGTATAATGTTATCATTGGATCTGGAATTTGTCGGATTACAAGGTACTATTTTATAAAAAATTCCGGACTATTGGGGGTCTTAAGCAGTACTCTATAATCCGACAAATTCGATAGTCCGACACTGCCCTGCAAAATGTTTGTCGGATTACCGGGGGTCCACTGTATTGTATTAACTCTTACAGTCCGCGAGGCATAAGCTGATCTTTGCATTTGTATGAGTGATCACCAAAAGTAGAGTCAGCCAAAACAAAGTATGTGTACATATTATGTAAGTGTGACTGAGAAGTCAGAGATCAATAAATGAAATTCAAATATAAAAAAAATTACAAACAATTCTTCTACACTGGATATTGCATCTTCATCATTTTCATTATCACTCTCGGTCAGTTGTGTCGTTTGTGTTAATAATGAATCGTTCCATCATATCATCAAGAACGGCGTCGTAGCCATGAAACCTTTTTTTCTTCTTTTATTGCGTGATCACATACATTTTTCCATTCTTGTACAAATAGTGTGAACTTTTTCTTTCGCTAATCTTCTTATTGTATCCATATTCATTGACACATGTTTTTTCGCCACGTATCCTTTTATCATTGCCCAAATAATATGTTGGATTGAAATCCTGGTGGTAGGGTGGTAGACGAAGGACGCTGTGACATTGTTCTCTAAGTAAAGTGCCAATTTTATATTCAATAAATCTTTGTCTGTTTTGCAGTGTCAATTGATAGAGTTGTGGTTTAAGCATCGATGTAGTGATCAATATTGCGATACTTGAGCCAGTCAATCATATGTTGTATACGACTATTTGAGTTGGGAGTGGGATTTTCTAACAAATTGTGGTAAGATGCATTGTCTACCACCACATCGCTATTGGGCTTTAAATTTGGAATTAATTGCGTTTGTAACCATTTCGTGTAGTTTTCTGCATTCATATTGTTATGGTAATCACCACTTTTTTGATTTGCTTTGAACATCAGCAGTGCATTTGGTATGAAATCATCCCCTCCGCCGGCATGGACTATTATTAAACAATTTCCTTTAGAATTTGGTTTCTTCAAACCAGAAGTGCTGCCATCTAAATAAAATTTCGAAGAAGTGTGAGTCGTGTCTATATAATATGTTTCGTCGGTATAAGCGACTTGCCGGTCCTGAATGCGATATTCGGAAATTTTAATAAAAAAAATTATACATAGGATAACATATATCATGTTTTTCCATTAGAATTTTTCTATTATTTTCTGTCCTTTTCCATTTAAATCCTAAAACAGACACTTCTTTACGCAATGACCAAATTGAACCTGGATAGTTTATTTTCCTCTCCAATTTTTCTTATTTGGTACCTCTTTATCAGTAATGTGAAAGTTGTGAATAGTTCTTCGGATTACCGCTTTATCAAAATCGTCAATGATAATGATATTTTTCCTGCATCTGGTCTTTTTCTGAGATTTAAATTTGCTTCCGTCTTCCAAAAGACGTTTACCTTCTAATGAAACTCTTTTGACAGTGGGCAGCGGAATTCCCGTCGATGTCGTTACCAATTGGGCTCATGTAGTGACGCTTCACATGTCTTTAAAATAACTATTTAAAATCCACAAAATTACTTTTATTTGGCTATTAATAGGATTTCGTATTTTTCGTTGATTTGCGTTGGCAGCCATTTTACTAATAAATCGAACACATAAACCAAATCTTAAGAGTAAAACACGTCACGCTGCTACCCGTACAAAAGGTGAAGTGAGAAATTTGCGCGTCAGAGTTGCGTCACGCGAGGGACGCACCGACGGCCAATTGCAAAAAAGCAGTATAAATCGATTTAAACCAAGCAAAGGACGCGTCACGCTATATGCCGATGTCACACCAACACTATCTATGTGCATTCACACAAATGCAAAGCTCAGCTTAGTCCTCGCGGATTGTACCAACTTTAATATTAAAATCTCATCACGCCAAATGATCATTAAAGGCCTGCAATTACTAAATGTAAATTAATGAATTGTCTGTGTAATTGCCCAAATCGTAATTTGTTTATACCAATCACCCCTTTTGCACGCCTAATAACGCAAAGCGTTATTAGGCAGTGCTTTATTATCGACACGTCAAGGTCAAGCAATTTTGTGTTCTTAAAATGCCTCTATTATAACCATATCGCTCTTATACGATAATATGAGTAGCCGTATATCAAGAAAATACCCTAGTTCATCTATCTTATATTTTCTAAAAAATAATTTTATATTGCTACTTTGAAAAAAAATTACGTGGACGTCCGGATGTTGATTTTGTATGTGGTCATGATAACTCCCGAAAAAATTGACGTATCAAGACCGGATTTTTTTTATTAGCTTCAGAATTACTTCAACTGGTTCCCTATTTCATATCAATAGCCTAGTAGGCGTAGTTTGTTAATAAAATGATTTTAAACTTTTAGAAATTTTATTGCTATTAAAAATTTAAAGGAGCTTTTATATTTTACAAATGTATCATACATTTTATACTTTGTGAAATCGATTTATTTTTGTAAACATTATTAATTTTTTTTTCCCCTGTGACACTATCTGTTAAAATAATCATCATTCATCATCATCATTACAGCCTTTCATAAGTCCACTGCTGAACGTAGGCCTCCCCCAAGGAACGCCACAAAGCACGGTTCTGAGCCACCTGCATCCATCGACTTCCTGCATTTCTTACCAGGGCACTTCGCCTACCGGTACGAGGCTGCCACTCAAGAACCTTTCTTCCCCATCGGTTGTTGTTCTTCAAGAGAGCATTGTCACCTTTCTTGAAGAACAAGACCTTCGCACTTCTGCTGCACGCCTCCGGTGTAATGCAACCACGGAGGACGGAATTAAAGAGCCTCTGAAGGACTTCCAGTACCGGTTTTCTACCCGCTTTCAGAAGCTCCGCTGTAATTCCATCCTCGCCTGGGGCCTTGCCGTTTTTAAGATGCTGGAGAGCCATTCTAATCTCGCTCAGACTGACGTCCGGGATATCTTCGGAATAGTGTCGGATAAGACTCGCTCTTGGATCGTTACTCACACTTGCGTGTGGCTCCAACGATGACGTTAAAATAATAGAGCGCTAAATTTAAAACACGTAAATAATATATTTTGAAAGTCAAGAATACAATTTTATTTTCATCAAAAGTAAATGAAACGCTCATGAGGCGTGCACTTTTGGATTTTCCAAATTATATTGGTATGTATGCTTTTACAAATTTTGACGTCTGTAATTTAAAACTAATAAATGAAGAGAGCATAAAAGTGTTTTAAAATGTTAATAAATAAAATTGATAATAACTCCTGAAAAAAAAATGGTTATCATTATTAAACTGTTTCTATAATTATTTGTACTTAATCATGCAACATTATTACTTTGAAAGAAATAAATTTCCCCCTGGGATTCTTGTTAGTTCTTTTAGTTTATTATTTAGAGAAAACAATAATAATAGTACAGTAAATATTATTTATATTATTCGTTATTCTATTCTCTTTTCACAGCATGATGCGGAAATGAAACTGTTAACTTACTAGTTTCATTTGATGAAAGAAGAAGAAACATCCTATAATCCTAGTGATTATAGGATTTTTTTTTCACATGGTTTCCTTACCTTTTTTTGAGTGATTCCTAAACGCTTATAAAAGTCTTGAAGACTTTGTTCAGATAATATAGTGCCCCCAAGTAATGCAGCCATGAGGCACAGTCTGTCTTGAGGTACATCCAAAACTCTTGGTAGCTCATGCACCATATATTCTTTCGTTTCCAATGACGACTAAAACAATAATAAAATTTTAAATATTATCAAGTGCTAAAAATAAAACGCGGTCCGTCTACTGAACCATTTGCACCCATCGATTTTCTGCATGTCTTACCAAGTCGTCACTTCATTTAGCGAGCGGCCGCCCTACACTCCGCTTACCGGTTCTGATGTGTTAGTGTAACATCGGCTAGTTTCCGCAACTATACAGCTAAGCGCGTATAGGCAAGAATCAATTCTATTAGAGCCATCACAGGTCCTCAAGGAATCCTAACGACTTAGTCGCCAAATATCCCAGGAAGCGACCACGGTACATCCAGATACTCAGCCCTGTAACTAGCGACCACAGAACTCTCAAGTAGGACATGAGTCTCTGTGTTGCCTCTTTGCACTCTTTATGGAGGATCTGCAAAGGGGGCTGTCTGTGACACCTCTAGTAAGCAGATGTTTATTAACCAGTTAGAGCCCTTGTAATAGTTCAAATTTGAGATTAGTTCATATGAATCAGTATTTCGGCAAAGCTGCTACTTATGTTAGGTAATGGCTCTTCAGCTTGCCTGCATTCAATTGAACACCTGTTCATAATGCATAATGCGATGCTGCACAAAGAACCTACAATCTATGTAGATCTATGTAAATTGTAGGTTATTTGTGCAGCATCACATCTGAGATTTTACAAACATAAATAGAAGTGGGATAATAAATTCTGAGCTAAACCTTATGCAGCATCATTGCCTTTGCAACCACTGTGGCCTTTTATCCACTGAAAAGTGGTGTTATATACATTGTTATGGAGTTGGAATAATTCAGAAATCAGCCCAGTGTTTATGTCCTTTGAGAAGGTCCCAGAGGCAGTTTTCAGTTCTAATATGGCCAACCTAAGCCACTTTAGAATACTGATCTGTTGGGCTATTATGGTTACCCTGGTTTACTGCAGATATCATTGTTATGGATATCCATATTACTACTAATATACTATAATAAACAGAAACTCTAAGAATAGCCATCTAGCTACTGAGTGATTTTAAACATTCTCATTTAGACAACAGTGAAGTCATCACTGACAATATGTACTTGTTCTACACTCACTATTATAAAATGATATTAAAATAATACCCTGTAAGTTAGTTTTAACTGTGATGAACTGAAGTATCTAGGTGGTTGAAAAACTAAATACTCTCCAGAGCAACCTACAAGACCAGCATAGGTTTTCTCTCTGCACAGGCCAACAACCTCTTGGCAATGATCATCTGAAGATACCATCTGTGGGATAAAAGGTAAAGATTAGTTATGGTAGTAAAATATAACATATTATATTGTAAATATAACACATGAATTTGACTCACAATAGGTATGTTTAAGTATCTGAGAGCAGTTCTAAGGCACGAATGCAGACCAGTTGGAGGTACCCACCAAACTTTTGGTGGTGGAGTACCTTTAGTTACAATATGACGCAATACCTATAAAAAAGAAATAAGTTAGAAAATATTGAACATGGAAAATTTAAACATGCTTCTTACTTTGATAAAAAAAAAACTATTTGCCACTAATGCTGTATCTGCTATCTATCACTCAATAAAATGAAATGATAATTTGTGATTCATATGCACACATAGTACAAGTGCAAGAAATATTTTTAAATTAGCTAATATTTTTAAAAGCAAGATATTAAACTTATTATGTACATGAAGAAGTATACAGTTTATATACATCCCACTTTTGGGCACAGAACAGAACAAAACAGGGTTATGGAAGAATTGGTCTATATTACAGTTCTCTATTAATAAGTCTGCAGCTTTGCTCTAAACTAAAGGTTGTGGACAGACTTCACATGTACTTAGGTTCTCACATGTACTAGTACTTATGTAGGTTCTTTGACGATGTATTCCTTCCTCAGTGTAATTATTTCAGCCTTATTATTGTTGATTATACATAGGCTGCACTAAAAGTATCGGGAATGGAATATTTCCACTGTTCCTGTCATATTAAAATCTTTTTAATTGTAAAGTCCTTGGTTTTAAAAATCGAATACCATTTATTTATTTAAAAAAAAGATTCTCGGTCTTGTCAAACTTGTTTAGTCATTAAGAAAATGGAATTGACTCGAGAAAATTCAAGAGCGATGATTTATTATGACTTTCGAAGTGGTTTAACACAAAAACAGTGTGTTGACCGGATGATTGAATAATCTGGTGTTCCACAAGGCTGTGTGCTATCACCAACGCTGTTTCTTCTGCATATCAATGATATGTTGCTAACTGGTAACATTCATTGCTATGCGGATGACAGCACTGGTGATGCTCTATACACCGGCCGTGCCAATATTTCTCGGGAAAACGTCGCCGAGTACCGGAACAAACTTGTGTCTGAAGTCGAGTCTTTGTTGAACAAAGTCACGGATTGGGGGCGACTAAACCTAGTCCAGTTTAATCCTCAGAAGACACAAGTTTGCGCGTTTACCGCTAAAAAGAACCCCTTTGTCGTATCTCCTCAGTTTCAAGGCACTCCCCTTCTTGCCTCAGCCAGTATCGGTATCCTCGGAGTCGACATATCGAATAACGTGCAGTTTCGTGGTCACTTGGAAGACAAGGCCAAATTGGCCTCTAAAAAGCTTGGCGTACTCAGCAGAGCGGGGCAGTATTTCATGCCGGCACACCGCCTGCAACTTTACAAGGCGCAGGTTCGGCCTCACATGGAATACTGTTCCCATCTCTGGGCAGGGGCTCCCCAGTGCCAGCTCCTTCCACTTGACCGCATCCAGCGCAGAGCGGCTCGAATCGTCGACGACCGAGCCCTTTCCGATCGGCTCGATTCTTTCGGCTCGAGACACTGCGAAGAGATGTTGCATCCCTTTGCATTTTCTTTCGCATCTACCATGGGGAGTGCTCTGAGGAATTGCTCGGATTAATCCCAGCCGCCAAATTTCACGAACGCACATCGCGGCAGAACTCCCGATACCATCCACACCATCTGGATGATTGGCGGTCCACCACTGTGCGATTTAGAAGATGTTTTCTTCCTCGCACGACTTCCTTGTGGAATCGATTACCATCAGCGATTTTTCCGGACCGATACGACTTAGGGACCTTCAAGAAAAGAGCGTACTCCTTTTTAAAAGGCCGGCAACGCATCTGCAATTCCCTCCCTGGTGTTGCAGTTGTTCATGGGCGGCGGTAGTCACTTACCATCAGGTGAGCCGCATGCCCGTTTGCCCCCTCTCCTATATAAAAAAAAAAAAATCTTGCATGAACAATTAGGTGTAAAAAGTTGTTTTCCCGATGGATACCGCATTCGCTCTGTGAAGAGCAAAAAGCAGCTCACGTTACTTGGTGCGTCAGAACTCTCGAAAGATTCCACGAAGGATCCTCAAATGCTGTATACAACATCGTATCAGGTGACGAATCCTGGATATACGCGTACGAATCCGAAACAAAAAACCAGTCACGAGTTTGGGTGTTCGAAAATGAGTTAAAGCCAACAAAAATTGTACGTTCACGGAGTGTTGCAAAAAAAATGGTGGCCACGTTTGTCTCTAAAACCGGCCATGTTACGACTATTCCTCTTGAGGGTCGAGTTTTTAGAGAGAGAAAACATAGAATTATTAGACCATCCGCCGTACAGCCCCAACCTAAGCCCTAATGATTTCTATACTTTCCCTAAAATAAAGAATAAATTGTGTGGACAGAGATTTTCATCATCTGAAGAAGCTGTGGACGCCTACAAAACGGCCATTTTGGAGACCCCAACTTCCGAATGGAATGGTTGCTTCAATGATTGGTTCCATCGTATGGAAAAATGTGTCAAATTTCACAGAGAATACTTCGAAAAGCAATAAATACATTTTTAAATAGTAATGTTGTGTCACTTCCTTGATTCCCGAAATTTTCAGTGCCGCCCTCGTATAATTACTTTATTGAATTTGGCACAGACAAATTGCCCAAAATATGCTGTGTTGAAAAGTGTGTTTTGGACAAATTAAGTTGGTATCAATCTCTGTCTTGAGTTTTTTTTAGTTTTATTGTAATATACGATTATTTTATCAACTACTTGGGTGCTTCGAAGGACGTCCATATTCAAACTTATTTTTCTTTTAGAAATAAGTTTGAATATGGACTAAATATTTTTACATTTTTATAAAATAAATATAAGACAAAGTATCACATGTTAGTGCAGTTACAAATTATTAAATGTTAGAGTATCTATATTGCTTTAATCATCAAGACTTTTACTACATAATAGTGTTTGGAGTAAATAAACATATTGCATGTTAAAAGGACAACATAATGGTTTACGACATTATGTAAAACTAGCTTTTACCCCCATAGAAGTTATATTAAAAAAACAGCAGATATATGGTCTATGGGCAAATAGTTCCATTTCATGTTTTTTGGTACTATCTCGAAAAAAATGGGAAATATGGAAAAAATATTTAAAATAAAAACTGAAGATCTATTAATTTGATGAAAAAAGGACTTTATCTTTTAACTCAACACTTACTCACAGTTTTGTCGTAAAGTAGTGTTGAGGTAAAAATCAATTTTGCATCAAAACTTTTAGGGATAGGTGTGATACAGTTAGATGAACAGTTAGATCTTTTTTGTGTAAAAGTGAAAACCAAAAAAATGTTGCTTAAGTTTTTTTGATAGATAATCTACAAAAACATTTATTTTATGTTTTGCTGCTTTTTTAAATTATGTATGCATATAGTGTACATGCATGTATATGTTATTAATTTAATAAAAAAGTAATAAAAAAATACAAAAACCCAACTGCAAAAAAGACAATTTAAAAGTAATGCAAAAAAAGACCAAAACTAGATTGAGTATTGAAATAAAAAATTAAAATAAACTATAAACAAAATAAACTCTACCAAGGTTAAACAGTCTACATTATGAGCTGAAAGCCTAAGTTAAATATTTTATAACCAATAGATCATTCAGTTAGATATTAATTTTTAAACAACTTACTTATGTGGAACTTACGCTTCATGTAGATTTCAAACAAACAATCTATAAACACCTTGTGTAACTTTGTTTCATTACTATGTTTTATAATTTTTTGGCCCAGTAGAGCAGTAGTTAATCATTTGCTCTCAATGCTAATCTCAAAAATAACACAAACAAGTATTTGTATGGCCTACAAATAATTGTTCCTGGTCTGTTTTTCCATATGTAATTTATGTACATACTAAAAATCTATTGTAGGTTTTGTATATTCCTTCCAAATAAAACACTTGAGAGCTTACCGAATTAACCCTTTGCCTGTATGTTGCTTGAGTTTGAATCCAGTGCTGTGGCACTGCTGGTGGGGTTGGGTGAGCACCATTGAAACAAACACAAAGTGCTACTTGATGTTCAGCTAGTGCTTGTGCCAATGTTGTCAAAAATTGTACACATCGCGCCCATTGTCCACCGCAAGCCCAATCTTATAAAAAATAAGGTATATATTAGCTTGGAGATATGAAAAAAAGTAAAGGATTCTAATTAAGGCATATCACCTACTTATTTTCATAATAAAATATTACGAGAGCTTAATTATTATAAATAAAGAAATTTGCGGGTTGTTATGTATGATTATACCAATAACATTAGGTACCTGAAAAATATCCTCCGTAAAGACGATCCAGACAACCCTCAGCGTCGAGTACTAAACGAAAACCACCAGCATGATTTCTCGCTATTTTGAATAAATCAACACCTACTCCTTCATTTTCTAAAAAAGTTTGCAGATCTTGTATGCCCATGATTATCGGCAACTCAATATTCTAACAATTCGATCGAACACGTTCGTCTCAAGTAATAATAGGTCTGAAATATGAACAAAAAAATCAAAGCGTACACAGAAACCAAAAAAAAATATAAGTTTCATGAAATTACCGCATACCGATTATATATTAAGAACTCAAAAGATTAAAATATCGCAAAAAACAGCAAAAAATTGACTACATAACCGGCACGTTTCTATGCATTTAGTTATATGCAGACCAAACAAAATTGCTTAAGGGTAGCGAAAAGACAATATTAAAAGACATTTACATATTTCAATGTAAATAATTACAAAAATACGAACCTTGATTCAAAAAACCATGCCAAGAAAGAATTACAGCAGCCGAAACTTGGAAACGGAAGCCATTTGTAATTTTGTAATTTTCTGTACGAATTTTCGATATACATCGATACATCGAATTCACTTGATGTTTACAATACGATGAATCGAAACGATCCGATTCTTTGGAAAGTTATTGACATACTCGATGTATCGATGTATTTTCATAAAACATCGAATCAATGATAACGAGCCAATGGTAAAGAGCTATACTTATCTATCACTATTAATATTATAACTTCTAAATCAGTAAAACATGCTCTGATTTAGATGTTATAATATTAAAACTAGTTGGCAGTTGTCAATCCCTTAAGCGGAATCAAGAAATTGAGATTGGCTGGTTGACTACACTGTGCTAAAGCGAATTAAAAAAACCGTCTGGTCTGTCTCGGTCTTAAGGTGGCTAATCACTTGCCTGTCGCAAGAGCAATCTAGGGTAAACATCGATTGGGGCAATATTAGAACTGTCTCTACACACATGCCTGCCGTTGCCGTTGAGTATGATAGTGTACGTCTCGCTGAATACATGCGTTGAGAATGGCGCCACTTTTATCGTAATATCAATCAATTGGTAAATATAGCATCAGCTCTTATTTAATTAGAATAAGTTAATAGATAAGTGGATACTGTGGCCCATAGACACCCATATTTATTGATAAAACAACTAATTAATTTATAATTACAACAATAACATAGTCCTTAAAAGCTGCAGCATGACTCTACCACGTTTAAAAACATTACAGCGTTCAAATAACGTTATTTCTACGGTGCTACCGCAAAAAAAAGAAATAAAGTAGATACTGGGTGAAGAAGCCGCTCTTTATACACTTCTATCACCAACCAACCAAACAGTGTCCAAATTCCACATTTTTTTAATTGTTATCCATTGCGACGTGTGTAGCGCGTGAAAGTCGCTAACAAACTGATTGAAATTGTCCCAATTGTGCTACACATGAGGCAGCGGTAGCTATGATTTAGGTAGCAAGGAAGGTCTTGCGTCTCTGCTGTCCTGTCGCAGGGCCGAATTAGAAACTTGTCCCTGCTTACATACACATATCACAATTAAGGAGGCAATTAAGGTTCATCCCCACTCCTACACCCACCCTTAAACTATTTAACCCAGTGGACTCGTCTCGCATGATTATTCCAATTCTGCCAAGGTATTGGATTTAAAAATCTTGTGCGTTTATAAAAACTGTTTACGGAATCGATTTTATCATTAAAAGAGTCGTTTCCGCCGAAGTAGATGCTCTTTGAAAAATTTCGAACGGTGCGGTTAATGTGTACATAAAGTAGTCAAATACTTAAAATTTACAAAAAGATAGTTATATTCCATATGTAAGTATTTTTATTGTGATACATGCTTTTTTTCTATTAAAATCATTTAAAATAATATCATAAACATTGACCTACTACTAAATGGACCTCGGCCTTGCACGCAGAACTGTTCGAGCTAAATGAGTTCGAAAATGCAAAAAGAGCTTCAATTGCGCGTCTTCATTTTGTCGACTGACCTAATGCATTACAAAATGCCGTACTGTATGTGAAAACGAGCAAAACTATTTATATTTATATATATTTTCGATAAGGACTATTAATATTTAATAATTTAAAGGTAATATTTTGTTTAGATACAAGATACGTAATATTTAATTTAAACTCATACTAATTGTAAAAACAAATAACCATACCGATAATATTCACTGGAAGCTGCATAAGATGAAGACAATGCGGACTCTAATTGAAGTTAAAAGGCTGATAAATTGTCGCAAGTAAAATTGAGCAGCTTTCTAATGATAATATGGTTTGAATTAGGATGTCATATATAATATATAAGCTTATATAGTTTAAATAAAACTAGTTTTACGAATTTTATCGCGAATATAAATAAGTTATTTCATATAATCCCATTGAATGAGTTTTTCTGGAAATAGACATACAATGGTATTATACGAACTTAGAGGGTTGCATTGATGATTATAATTATTATTATTCTGTACAACCTGACACTAACCTGCAAATTGCAAAAAACGTAAGACAATTTGAATTTTGCGGGCTACCCTGGCGGTTTAACCTTAAGACACTTTGTGTGTCGTGCAATAAAGAATATCTATCTATCTAACATCCTTGAACACACACACACACACTGACACTCACGGCGTACGGACAAACACAGTGCTAATGTAAGAGTAATAGATCCTTCAAAATTATAGGTTGTTTGAATGAGGTATCAGGAAGTTGAATACAGATTTATAATGTAGTCAGAAAAAGTACTCGATGTTGAAAAAACATCGATGTTTCTAACCGATGCATCGAAATATATCGATGCACAATCTCGATGCATTACATCGAAATAAAACATCGATGTATTTTCAAAGTGGACACCCCTAATTTTCTGACCTTTTCTAAATTGCACAGATAAAATATGACAAAGTAAAACAACACCGAATCAATCCTATTAATTTTCTGTTTTTTTTTCAAATGTCAAAAATAAAGATATTATGCTGATTTTAAAACTTGATTAAAGTTTATTTTAGTTAGTAGTATCTTAATCATCGATTCTTAATCTACGATTTTAGCATGAGAGTATGAAATAAAGCGCCTTATTCACAGTCCACCTTGCTGTACGTCCCACCAAGGTTATGCACGACGCACGACACAAACAAACGCCTTGACATACGTTGATAATGATTAGGTATTCATTATTAATTGATTGCTGGACACGCTAGATGCATTTTATATCCACCAAGGCAGCAGCGGGTCTCCCCACTAGTTTTCTGTCGTGCTGATGAATGATGAATAGGTCGGACGTACGTCAAAGCTGTCGTGCATTAACCATGTTAGATCGTGTTGATATTGACTGTACAGTAGATCCTGATTTATCATTTTATATAGTAACAAATTGTTGACGGCGTCATCTACCCTCAATTATTAAACCTTAACGCGCATTTCCCGCGATATAATAAATTAAACAAATAAAAATTTTTATTACATTTTATCATTATATTAGGTCCTTAAATACCTATGAAATTAGCGTTTTGTCGTACTGACCACTTTGATATGAAATATCTTCTCTTTGGTTAAGAATTCCAAATTCAAATGTATAAATTAATTTAGCTGGTACATTTGAGTTTTGAAAACATTCATTCATTTGTTTTCTCCTCATCATTTTTTCTTTGGCGTCGCTTATTACCGCACAATGGAAAACATGAAATATCGGTATATTTACGAGTACGAGTTCTACCGTGGCACCAGTGCTGCAGAAACAGCTCGAAGGATTAATGATGTGTACGGCGCTGGTGTCGCAAAAGATAGCACGGTACGTTTATGGTTTCAACGTTTTCGTTCTGGAAATTTCGACATACAGAACCAACCCCGTGGACGGCTGGAGACCAAAGTGGAAAATGAAGAATTAAAGGCTATTGTGGAAGCGGAGCCATCACAAAGCACTTCAGAGATAGCTGCAGGCTTCAGGGTAAGTGATATAACTGTATTAATCCACTTGAAGCAAATCGAGAAAGTAAAAAAAACTTGAACGATGGGTACCTCATGAACTGAGTGAATCGAACTTTACCGCCGCCGCTCAACCGACACAATAATGAAGGGATTTTATATCCAATCATTACTTGTGATGAAAAAAGGATACTGTATGATAATTCTTTTTTTTTTTTTTTTTTTTTTTTCTTTTAAAAACGTTACCCCCACACTAGGATTTTCTCCTGTGTCGTGGAGGCAGTTTACAAACATAAATTGCACAAGGACAAACATCCAGACCCGGAACAATTATTTGTAGGCCATACAAATACTTGTTCCGTGCGAGATTCGAACCCGCGACCCCCAGCGCAACAACTGATTACTAAGCCACTACGCCACGGAGCCGTCTATTCTGTACGATAGTTCGCTGAACAATGGAGACCCAGCCAAATCCCTAAACGAAAATTGACTAAGAAAACGTTACTTGTAATGTAAGAAACACTCAAGTACACTGCAATCTCCTAATAAATATAAAAGAGCTTTTCAATGCGATAGTTATCAAGTTGAGCTTTTAGAAGAAATGCTAACATTTTTCAGGAACTTAAAATCATTATCAATCAATTTCATTCACGGATTTCAAGTATCTATAAAATCTTTAATAAAACTTCATGAAGAATTAAAATAATCATCATCATCATTACAGCCCTTCACAAGTCCACTGCTGAACATAGGCCTCCCCCAAAGAATCAATCGACTTCCTGCATATCTTACCAGGTCGTCACTCCATCTAGCGGGGGGACGCCCTACACTTCGTCCGCTGGTCACACTTCGAGGCCGCCACTCAAGAACCTTTTTTCCCCATCGGTTGGAGATTCTTTGAACTATATGGCCAGCCCATTGCCACTTCAGCTTACTAATCCGTTGGGCTATGTCGGTTACTCTGGTTCTACTGCGGATACTCATTCCTAAGTTTACCACGCAGAGAAACTCCGAGCATAGCCCTCTCCATAGCTCGCTGAGCGACCTTGAGCTTCCTCATCCGGCCAGCAGTGAAGGACCACGTCTCAGTTCCATAGGTCATTACTAGCTGTTATACAGTCTCGTTTTCAAGTTTTGAGGTATGTCTGACGAGAAGATGTGTCGTAGCTTCCCGAACGCTGCCCA